TTTGCTGAAGTTCATTTTTATAGTATTTTTTACTTAAATTCTTACAGGCTCTATTTTTGTTTTTAGTTTCATCTTTGGGTTTGCTGATATTATTGTCGGATAATATGATTTACATATAAGTACCATGAGTATATACCTTGATCAATAAATAGACCGATATATGTATACTGTATTAGTTAATACCATACGTTGATTTCAAGCAATTATGACAGAAACCATTCCAATAACCTATTGTACAATATAAATGGCGCCATATAGCAGATCTGCAGCAAATTAAATTATTTTTGAGTAATTTGAATTGAAGAGATGTCATCAGGCAATGCCGATCTCGCGTTATCTTGCGTTAATCGCCATAGATGCAGGCGACAGACACTCGTTAAGTTATCTTCCCAAATCTGCAATCAATGCATTACCATCTATAAACTTTTAAATATTTAATGATTTGCTTTTTATCTGATTCCTTAATGAAAATATACGAATACGAATATATTTTATTAGTTTCAAATCCCAAATGATAGGATTGTTACAAAAGTTTCACAATAGACATTAAATAAACATAAAAACATCAAAGATAGTATACTTGGGGACAAAAAAAATTGTTTGCCCACTTTATCCGAAAGACGTTATTTTTTTCGCTTTTCTCTAATTCCAATCATTTTCGTGTTTTTCTGTGAAAGATTTATATAAGTATACTAGAAATGCCATTTGTTAGTTGCTAACTCGTATACTAACTGATGTCCTCGGGAGTATCACCAGTCTGGGAGCCAGTACTTCGGTACTTCATGTATAATCATGGCATGAAAATACGGGATGTCCCCGGGGGTATCTCCAGTCCAGGTGTCAGTACTTCGGTACTTCATGGCATGAAAATACGGGATATCCCCGGGTGTATCCCCAGTCGAGGAGTCAGTACTTCGATACTTCATGGTATGAAAAGTCGGGATGTTCCCGGGGGTATCACCAGTCTGGGAGTCAGTACTTCGGTACTTCATGGCATGAAAATACGGGATGTTCCCGGGGGTATCACCAGTCTGGGAGCCAGTACTTCGGTACTTCATGGCATGAAAGTACGTGAAGTTCCAGGGGTATCACCAGTCCTGGAGCCAGTACTTCGATACTTCATGTAATGGAAATACGGATGATTCGTTGTTTTATTGAAATATATGCTGTTACAAGATTTTCCATCATTTTGAATTAAGGAATGTATAGAGTATAGATCTGATTCCGTGTCCGGGTTCGGCTATTCTTATGATCCCTTTGAACTTAAAAGCTCTTCCAAATAGCTTTTTTAGGTTTTGGATTTTCAAATATGTTGGCTTCGAACATCACTGACGAGACATTAGTTGTTGAAATGCGCATCTTATGCAGTAAAATTAGTACTGTGAATGTACTTAGTACAGTACTATAGCAATACAATACAATCCAATCACTGATAGATATACGAAGTATAGCGACTTCATGCTCAGAGTCGGACTGTTTAACAGTACATGAAAACAACGTAGAGTTGCGTCCCTTTGACTTCGATCTGGTTAATCATTTCAAAAATGTGTAATTTTTTCCTATCAATAATAGCTAGACAATTAATTATGTATAAACCAGACTAAAGTTGATACCATCAAATTTTCTGTCAATTTTGTCGCCTTGTTTTGTTTTACATTTCATTTGCTCAAACATTTCGTAAAAGTTATCAAATTTTATATCATAACTGTTATTCTAGGTGGTATTCAGATATTTTATCAAGTATTGACAAATTTTGTATATTATTTGATCTTTGATATCCCATGGCAGTTGGCGCGTGCATAAATTTACAGACGATCGGATTTGGCGCCAATTCCATCTAACTTTCTCAATGGTCGTCTGAAAGTCGGAGAAAATATAGAAAACGATACTTAAGCAGTTGTTTGGTCAGTTTGATTAAAATAATGGACAATTCCTGTCTGTATTGTCCAGCCGAGGCTATTTATCAACCTGACAATCAGTGTTAACTAGGCGTCCGATTCAAGCCATTAAAATCCAATAGTTTATGTTTCAGAAACTTCATCTCCGGCAGGCAATTAATTACAGGGAATATTAACGGGATTATTGATGTGACAGTGTTGTTTGTTTTAAAATGTCCTCGTTTTAGTTAAATTCTGAATTTCTTAAATAGAGTATGAAATATACATACAAAATATATTTGATACAAACTAAAACAAACCAAATACGAAAATCTGTATGTGCAACGACAGGCGCTTGGGACATGGACCCCCCTTTCTAATTTCTTTTCTCTGTGGTGCTATATTTTTTTTACAAATTAGGCACAAAAAAGGGAATTATTAAAAAAGGATTCATACCCCCATGCGCCTCTTATCGCAGCTAGCTCTGTCTTAATTTCCCTAAAACAACGTGGCTGTTCCTTATTCCTTTGTTTCTTCATTATACCAATCGTAAAACAGTTAATCATTGGCGGACCCAAAGGGGGTCGGGGTTTGAACCCCCTTTTTGTTTGACAACTAATGCTTTTATATGGGGAAACATGGTTGGAACCGCACCCCCCTTCATATTGACTTACATGTGTTGGAACCCCCCTTTTAAAAATGGCTGGATCCGCTAGCTTAAATATAGCACGGTAACCTATACTTTTTATTATATTTTTAAAAAAAAAGCATGACAAAATCTCCATTTTGGCAAAGTATAAGAAAATTCTGTCTGAGGAAATATATACCAATGAACCACCTTAATTAACACTAAACCCGTTGGATGTGTACTGATTGTTTTTTAGTCTAAGAAAACATGGTTTTATTTACTAGTATTATTTGAAATTTGCTTTTTCGTTAATTGTTTTGTTATAAATTACTAGGCGGTTAGTTTTCTTAATTGAATTGATTCATATTTTTCATGTCGGGGCCTTTTAAAGCCGACTATACGGTATGGGTTTTTCTCATTATTGAAGGCCGTACGATTGCCTATAATTTCTTACATCAACTTTATTTGAACTTCGGTGAATAGTTGTCTCATTAGCAATCATACCTCATCTCCTTATTTTTTCTGTTTTGAACTAGCTTTCAGTAACTGCGAGTATTCTTAGATTGGGGCATTATGATGTGTCTTTTTGTACTGTTTGTGCTCATTGTTGAAGGCCGTACGGTGACCACTAGTTGTTGAGTTATGAATATACCATATCGCACGCAGCCAAAATATATGCTCTTAATTGTGTTTCGTTGGCTGTGTTTAATCGTCCCCCCTCCCCTAATGAAGCTTCATTTATGGTTAATCCATACTTTTTACCGCTTCCACTACAAATTTTGTCTAGTTCGGGACCCGCGGCCCCTCCCCCTTTTCAAAATCCTGGATCCATCTGACCTCCCTTTTTCATAAAAATCATGAATTCGCCACTGGTGGAACATAAAGAATTTGCTCGCTTTTTACAAGTTGTATTCTTCCATAATTTTGCAATTGTATAACACGCAACGAGGAAAAGTAGAACGTAAAAAGGTGGATTTTGCCCCGAGCGCAGCCGACGCTGGTGCCCCTTTTTAAATCCGCAAACTAGCCTTTTTCTTCCATAAAACACGGCGAAATTTTAAAGGGCGCATCCCTCCTAAAATACAAATTCTGGATACGCGGTAGGAATCGATCCCTCCTAATCAATACAAAACAGTAGCGTTTGTTTTAAATCAGAGACAGAGTTAGGGGGCAGGGGACCCGCCACCCTCATGGAGCCACATACCGGTATATGATAAATACATAGCCTTCCTTATCCCTCCAAACGTTGGCTTTCTAGCCTCCCCTTTTTCCAAAATCCGTAAATGAGCATGTCCCTTTATCTCAAATATACATTCTCTTCAACTGCGTTTTACTGTGCGTACTGTTGTACGTTTGTTTTTTCTACATTGGCTAGAGGTATAGGGGGAGGGTTGAGATCTCAAAAAACATGTTTAACCCCGCCGCATTTTTGCACCTGTCCCAAGTCAGGAGCCTCTGGCCTTTGTTAGTCTTGTATCATTTTTTATTTTAGTTTCTTGTGTATATTTTGGAGTTTAGTATGACGTCCATTATCACTGAACTAGTATAAATATTTGTTTAGGGGCCAGCTGAAGGACGCCTCCGGGTGCGGGAGTTTCTCGCTACATTGAAGACCCATTGGTGGCCTTCGGCTGTTTTCTGCTCTATGGTCGGGTTGTTGTCTCTTTGACACATTCCCCATTTCCATTCTCAATTTTATTGATCTTATTGTATTTATTTCGAATAATGTGACATTCCATTAATTGGTCTAAAAACGAGCAGTAACCGAATGAAAAATATCGATTTTACTTCATCGTCATTGAACTGTGTCATATCCGAGGATAGCCGCGAGGAGGAAATTAATATGAATAAATGATTATGTGAATAAAAAGGTAAATAAAACATGAAACTTTTATAATGTCAAATGATTTTTAAATATATGTGTGAAATATTGAAAACTTTTTCACACGTTTTTTTTTACATGTATAGTTTTAATTTATGAGACTTCATTGAAGTACAACACAGCGTTATGAATGAAGTGTGGAGTCGGATTAATATCTTTATGAAATATATCATTTCTGTCATCAGGTTGTCTTTTAAAATTATTTTAAATTGTTTCCCCGAAGAAATCTTGTCAAATAGAGTGCTTTTCAAATATTATACGGACTATCTGATAAAACATTTTAAGCAACGAGTACTGGCGACATACACCCGCGCCAAAAAGTCTAGACGAACCACGTGCTTGTAATTGACCAATCAACCGGACCGTTATCTAAATAACTAACTGTGTTAAAGATTTGTAGGTAGTTTACACAATTTTATTAATTATGGCAGAAAATGAATCTTACAAAATAAAATTACGAAAGCAATTGTAAAAAATGCCTTAAGTTCCAAATATCACGATTTTTTGGTAAAATCTATTCCAATAAAGACAGAAATCGATGTGTAAACAGATGCATATCAATGAATGGCCGTACAGGTAAATGATTTTTGACCTTGCACCCCTCGATCAACAATAGACTAACCCAGGTCAAAGCAGCTATGATTGCAATGTTTTGAACACGAAATTCTAATATTTGTTATGAATTATGGTCATTTTAAAGCAAAATGGATTAGAACATGATATGCGACAGTTCAATCAATACACAAAATTGAATTTGAAGATTTTTCAGTGAAGGAATTCTCTTCTTTATTTACCTGTTTGGGATTTTAGTGAAGGTGTGTAAAACTTTGTGTAACAGAGCCCCCATAATTATCAAAGGTGTTTGTATATTTAATTGACGAGAGCTTCATCAATTACAGTTATTGTAATTATCGGATTAAGGCTAATTAATGGTTTGATCTAACGGGCACCTGCTGTGTTAATTAGGTCGAGCAGTGTTTACAAACCTACACGATTGTCACAAGTTAAGAAAATGTGATTTTCATTAGAATCAGTGTTAATTAAAGAAATAGAACATTAACTGTCTCTACATCTACGAACAACGTTTTCGCCAAGGTAGTCAGTAAAAATATTGTTTTTAAAGAAGAAAATAACAAGGAGTCAAATGTGGCTTGTTTACGATTTATGTTCCGTTCTAAAAGGTCTTCCCACGTGAAGCGCTTGTGGAAAAGTCGGATCGCACAACATGAAACCGAGAGTTCGGATGAAAACAATCCAGAAGAATTAGAGAAAAAATCAGTCACTCAGTCTATATTGAAAAGATTAAAAGAAAAACAATTAGAAATGTTAATTCAAAGTGTTGAAAGCAAGGGCGAAGAACACTCCGGTTGTGTATTGTTACCTAAAGGAGATTTACGGCTCGGGAGGAGGTGTGTAGCGCCTCATATTTTGTGCCTTCAGATTTGGAGGTGGTCGGACATTTCAGGGAGTTCAGAACTTCGGAGAATGCCTTTCTGTGAAACTGTTGACGATGATGTTTACGTGTGCTGTAACCCTTATCATTGGAGCCGTAAGTCAGGTAATTCACAGACATTCCATAAACTTATAAACCAAATCAACTCAGGGGGGCTGCAAAGGGGAAAATGTTTATTGTAGAAAAAAGGGGGATGGGTGTTCAAGTCGTAAAAGTTATCATCCTTTTTAAGTGAGTAGTATCTCTGGAGCCATTCACCAGTGTAACAGGTACTTACTGATAATACTCTATGTATAGACACTTTCTAAGTAGATTTATATAGGTTGTCAGTTTATCTGTGCTATAATAGTATTTGGACAGTAGGCAGTACAATTAAGAGTTTTCACTAGGACTATGTATAATAATAGTCCCAATTTTTCCATGTATACTATTATCAGATGTCCATTTATATCTAATGTTATATATTAAACAGTAAACTTTAAAAAAAAAAAAAAATAATCTATATCATTTGTTATCAATAAACATGATAAATAAAAAGAAAAAATTGAACTGATTTTATGAACATGATGAAATTTCAGTTTAGATACATGAGTTGAAACATGTACATGTACTACAATTACTAAGACGTTCTTATATAAATGTTCTCTCCTTACATAAATTTTAAAATTTCACAAGTTTAATATCTTCTTGCAAAGTTTTAATTTTGATGTCCCATTAATCATGTTAATTGTTAATAACAAAATAAAGTTAAAAAACCTAAGCCCATCTACATGATTAACTTATGAATTCTTGAAATTAAGATTTAAGAAAATTCTCTTAAAGCTACATATATCAATAATTATACCTGAGTTTAATGGTCAAAATTTCTGGAAATCTGTTTACAAATAAATTTTAGGATGTGTTTAGTAAATTTACATATTTTTATGAATTAAAAGAAGAAATATTGTACAGAAGATTATCTTGGTCCAACTACTATGACTACAAAAATACCTATAGCTGTATAGATTTTTATTAATTACATTAATTTTGAGTCTGAAAGTTGGTCACTAATTCAGATTAAACAAAAACTTCAAATTTTTTGGGGACTCATTTCCTTTAACAATGAGTAATACATTTAACAGCTCACATTGAGTTTGATTTTCCACGTACCCACTGTGGGAAGCTTATTCAGACATACTAAAACTAAAATTTAACTTAATTCAACTTTTCTTATTTTCACAATTTTAAAGACCTTGACTACGCATGAGGGTCTTGCACAGTCGAGGGGGTGGAAGGGGGGGGGGGGGAAGAAATGGCACATCCACTCTTATTTAAAAGGGTGGGCCCAGACATCTTAAAGTTTCTTCCACTCCCCCAATGATAGGTGGAACATAGAGGCAAGAGATACCTTAAGAATAATCAATGGCAAAATCTAGGGAAATGGTCCTGGAAGTTAGTGGGAAAAGGGGGGTGTCTTAGATATATATATATGTTTGGGTTTAAGAACTGTACTGGGAATTGTGTAAACCTTGCTGTCATAAAACATGTTTGTCTTTCCTTCAACAATGTACAATCATGACAGTACAATACAATAAATTTGGGACATATTTTTGGAGTAAATATAAGTATGGACAATACATCATGTTTTTAAAATATGATGATGTCTTGAAATCCGATTGGAGATACATTAGCTGATATTGAAGTGTTAAAGAACACACGATTAGATAAAGTACTCTGAGCTGGCTGTCTTTGACTGCAACCCTGTAGTACATGTGAACATGTATTGATTTTAGTATGTAGTTTTATGCTTGGTCATCTGCTATAAGGTTAGATTTCCTCATACATACACTGTACCTTTTGTTTTTGTTTTTAACTGTCTGTCTTTTATTACAATGGCATTGTGTAACTGTTCAGTTTTATAATTTATCTATTTTTGCATCTCGCACCTTATCCATGTGAACTGGTTGAATTCTTTCCTGGGTTTAACCAATTACCAAAAGTGTCTTAATTTGTCCAAGACATGATACAGTTAATTGATTACAACATTCATTTTTAGATGTAAATAGGTCAAAAGTAGGTCAAAGAGTACATGAGGATTTTTAACTTTTATTGAATTCAAATGTTTTTGAGTCCAAGGGCCATAAATAGGTCAAAAGTAGGTCAATTGTCAACAAAAATCAAATTGATATGTAACTTCTGACTGTACCATGTACAATGTACATGTACATGTATGAGGGGCCTGATGGGTTATTTTAGTTCTTCGGGATCGGCTCATTTTCGCTATCGTGATCCGTTTTTCTACAGATTTTTTTTTTTTATATTTTCGTGATCCGTCATCATGGAAATTTATTTTCTGTGAATCGTGATTGACAAAAAAATCAACTCGTGAATCGTGATGAGACCCCCCCATCAGGCCCCTCATATATATCTATCACTATTGTCTACCTCTTTTCCTTAAAGGACAGTAAATCTCTGTAGAATGCTATACTTACGTGAAAAGTAGGTCTTACTAGGTCAACTAAAAACAATTTTTTAGATATTTTAAAAGGCTAGGCTTGAGCTGGTAGACCTGTGGTCAAGTGAAAATACTGTTTTTACCACTATCTCGTAAAGGACAGTAAAGAGGGGTATAATTAGGTAAAAAGTAGGTCAAATGAAAACAATTTTTTAGATATTTTAAAAGGCTAGGCTTGGGCTGGTAGACTGGTGCATGGTCAAGTGAAAATACTGTTTTTACCACTATCTCGTAGAGGACAGTAATTGAGAAAGAGGGGTATAATTACGTAAAAAGAAGGTCAAATGAAAACAATTTAATGCATATCTCTGTTATAGATAAAAACGGTTTACCATATTTACCAAGAATGCTATAAAACTCTAGCGTTACAATTTAGACCAATCAGAATTTGGTATTTTAGCAGTACCAAGCACTACCATTTAGATTTGTAGCTCCATGTACATGATGTAAGGTTATTTTTGTTATTCTGAATACTCTTTATAATATGTATAAGTAGTCATGTTATGACTTTATTAGTCTAATCACTGGTCAAGGCTATATAGTATAGATAGGTCATGTAGGTCAGTCATGTTATGACCAGTCACTACAGAATGTTCTTGTTGCTTCCTTGGAAAAGTGGTCTTTAAGTAATTCATCTATTGTAATGCTAGCCTGTCATCATTGAGGTTGTTAGTTCATACCCTGTAAGCATCAGGTGTGTTAGACTTAATTAATTGACTAGGATGGTCAGTTTTTCTGCCAAGGGTCTTGGTTCTCTTCGGACATTCTGGCTATCTCCACCAATCAAAATATGGTTGCAACAATATAGCAAATAGTGCTGAAAGTAGAGTTTTAAACATCAAACATTATCAATCAATTATACAGATTGTTCTTTACGTATGATCTTTAGGGGCCTCGGTGGCGGGGTGGTCTAAGTATGATCTTTAGGGGCCTCGATGGCTTATTTAGGGTGGTCAATATATGATCTTTAGGGCCTCGCTGGCCGGGTGGTCTGAGTAGTCAAACTACTGTATCACTAGCCTGTCAACACTGAGGTTGTGAGTTCGAATCACGCACAGGGCAGATGCACTCGACTCCAATCTTAATTGACTTAAGATTGTCAGTTTTCCTACCAAAGGTCGGTGTTCTCCCCAGGCACTCCGGCTTCGTCCACCAATAAAAACTGACGGCCACAAAATAGCACAATAGTGTTGAAAGTGGCGTTAAACACCAATCTATCAATCAATGTATGATCTTTTGTTATTCGACTGGTCGCATTAAAAAAGGGGGGAGTGTCAAGACCTTAAAAAGACTAGTTTATCTCTGCCACATGTCCATGTACCTGTCCCAAGTCTGAACCTTATAAGTGGTTAACAATCTTATTAATTTTTTTACATTTTTTACAAGACAATGCCAATTATGACACATAGTAGCTAAAAATAAGATTTTTCATTGTACATTGTACCTCTGTTGTAACATTTGTTTACATACAGCATGTGAAAGATCACCTTGCTGGTTTTTTTTTTCACCTTACTAAAGGTGACCGAAGAAATCATGTCTATAAATTACAAAACTGAACATATAAACTTTTACACCTATTTGTACCTTTTAACACCTATGTTTACCCGTGAGCACCAATGTCGTACCCGTGATGACTTGATTACCATGATTACAAGTCTTCTAATTCACAAACATATATATAGCAATGCTAAAGGAATATAACCTACCAATTCTCCAGGAAAATAAAAAGATATATTCTTTAGATTGTAGAGGTTGTTCTCCAATTGAAAACTGACCTCTGACCTCTGACAGACAAAACATTTCTTTCCATTTATTTTCAAATTAATTTTGATTGTTATGAATACTTCTCCTAGAAGTCATGGTAGTAGTATCTTATGAATACTTCTCATAGAAGTCATGGTAGTCATGGTAGTAGTATCTTATGAATACTTCTCATAGAAGTCATGGTAGTAGTATCTTATGAATACTTCTCATAGAAGTCATGGTAGTCATGGTAGTAGTATTTTATGAATACTTCTCCTAGAAGTCATGGTAGTCATGGTAGAAGTATCTTATGAATACTTCTCCTAGAAGTCATGGTAGTCATGGTAGTAGTATCTTATGAATACTTCTCCTAGAAGTCATGGTAGTCATGGTAGTAGTATCTTATGAATACTTCTCATAGAAGTCATGGTAGTCATGGTAGTAGTATCTTATGAATACTTCTCATAGAAGTCATGGTAGTCATGGAAGTCATGGTAGTAGTGTCTTATGAATACTTCTCATAGAAGTCATGGTAGTAGCTCGAGGGTAGTGTAGTATCTTGAAATTGTGGGATCACAAATGTTATTCTTCTTTAAAAATGTTAAATGAAATGTTGTCATTAGAAATGAAAGATTAATAAAATCATCCAAAGATATTGTCTCTTGGGAGGCTCTTGTAATCTTGTCTCTTGGGAGGCTCTTGTATTATCTTGTCTCTTGAGAGGCTCTTGTAATCTTCAAGCCAAAAACTACATGTTCATGGTGGGAAGCTTGTAATACAATGTACATTTACTTCAACAAAAACCTTATTCCATGAATGACATTCACATTTGACAATTTTTGATTTGTGAATTAAGCTTTAGGGGGGGGGTAGGAGGGGTCCTGATCCCGAAATCCCGGGCTTAGTAACATGGAATCCCGAGGTCCCGAATTTAAAAAAATTTAAATCCTGACATCCCGAAATTTTTGATAAAAGAATTCCTGGATCCCGAAAGGATCAATCCCGAAATCCCGAGCTTAAAAACACCTGATCCCAGAGTCCCCATAAAGGTCCTACCCCCTCATTTAGTAACATGCTTTAATTTGCTTGTTAAGAAAAAAATCTTGAGTACAGTCCTTAAAAATTTCTTTAGAATAGTATGGCAATTGTTGTGAGGTTTCTGTCTCTTTGGTTTATACTGATACCTCTTTGTCATGTACTGGTACCTCACATCTCACTGTATTCATAGACTTAAAGGGTTTATATGGAGTTTGCCATTCTTGTATGTGGAGGTGAGAAATGTGGTTGAATGTTATATTTACACAACAAGTTAAAATAATATTTATATTTAGTTAAAATTAAATGACAAAATATTTTCTTTGTGGTTAAATGTTAAAAACAGATTACATTGTATTGTAATTCTCTATAAAACACTTCTGCATGCATTAAACAAGCTCTGTGTGTGTGCTTATTCTACATTGGCTAGGGGTATAGGGGGAGGGTTGAGATCTCACAAAACACTGTTTAACCCCTCCACTATGTATGTTTTTTTAATTTTTGTTCATTTATATAAATGTATATGTTTCAGAGTTCTCAGTTTAGTGTGATGTCCATTTTAACTGAACTAATACACATTTTTGTTTAAGGGCCAGCTGAAGCCCGCCTCCGGGTGCAGGATTTTCTTGCTGTGTTGGAGACCCATTGGTGGCCTTGGGCTGTTTTATGATCTTTGGTTGGGTTGTTGTCTCTTTGACACATTCCCCATTTCCATTCTTAATTTTATCTTTTAGTGCTTAATAATCAATACGTTACATTTTTCTCATCTTTACATTATTTTACATAGAAGTATAAAACGCTGAATGTATTGGAGGTATAGATTTTGCAATAAGGGGGTTGCAGCTATGTTCCTTGTACAAAATTGTTTAGGGGTTACTACCCAACTGACCTCAAATACAGTAATTATTCACACCTAAATGTGGTATATCAAATTGTGATTGCTGCTACGTATAGATTCTACCACTGCATCGAGTGTGATACGATATTTATCAACTCGAGACTGTTAAATTTTGAAATTTAAAACGTGAGGCTCACCAAGCGATTTAAATATTTAAAATTTAATTGTTGAGAGTGGATAAATATCGTATTACACGAGATTTGGTGGTGGATTCTGTTTCTCTAATAATTTTTATACAATATGCAGGCAAACTTATTCCTTTTTTCAAATGATCTGCAAAAGATGTGTTCTTTCTATGTGACGCCATCAGACATGGTCGCCTTTTTTCACGACGTCACAATAGAAAATTCAGAGGAAACCGAGAAAATTTGACTTAGTAATCGAATTTTGACCAATGAATACTTGAGGTCAAACAAACCACACGTTGATTAGATAAAAATAATCAACAGGTCAGGAAAAGGATAAATCGCGTCAGAATTAGAGAAATGTGTATATGACATGTATGAAATTCTTAGTACAAAAGTGTGATTGTCAAGCCCCCCCTTTTCACCCACTAACGTCAAGTTCTTAGATCCACATCTGAATGTTGTTTAGCAAATAGGGGTTACGGCTACATGTATATATGTCTTGTAACAATGTATTGCAATTTTCACTGTGAATTAAATGAGAAAAATGTTTTATTTGGAATTGATTGAAAATCAAAACCTAAACTTGGTGCATCAGGTGTGCTTTTCTTATGGCTTCTACGATGTATATTACAAGGATAAAATATAGATCTAGTTTATTGGTTACATGTAAGGTAGTTCAGGGGTATAGAAAAAAATGACAGAATTTTCTTATACTTTGCCAAAATGAAGATTTTACTATGCCATGTATGCCATTTTCAAAAAAATGATAAAAAGAATGGGTTACTACGCTATTTTTCAAGATACGAGTCATTCAGAATTGCCAAAATTTGCTGAGATTGTTCATGATAAAACATTTTAGTGCATAAAAAGAAATCTATGAGACAGAATTTTGAAATTAAATATGAGAAGATAGGTTTTATAATATATTTTAAGAAAATAAAAAGAAAAAAGGGTGTCACCGAATCCGTTTTCTTGCTACAAGTCAAAAATGAAAATTTCCCTATATGTCCAGTATAAATTTTGTACTAAAAGAGTTATCTCCCCTTAAATGGCTTATTTGAAAAATTAATTCTAAAAGCACAAATATTTGGTATTTGTTAAAACATTTTCGATAATGCAATAAAAAACTAAGTTTTCTCTATTTAAATAAACAGTGTAACCAATAAATTGCAAATTTGTTTCCAAATTTGCAGATTTGGGTAATGAACTAGCCCGATTATTTACTGTGATTGTACAATTCAAGATGGCGGTATACCCCTCAACTACCTTAATTGCCGATCGACCGTGCAAGGGCTGTATAGCCAGTCAATGTCGTTAAAAACTTCCATATATAACTACCTTAATTTTTTTTTTTCCTTTTAAATATTGAATCACAGTGTTACAACTTTGATGGCTTTCTAGAACTTCTGAACTTTATTAAACAAACTCAGATGCAGTAACTGCGCTACAGGAGCATCAATTATACATAATAATATGTAATTACAGATGACAGAATAAGTAAAAATTATCTAATATATAGAACTTATACAACTTCTGTTATTAAAACATATATAGATAAAAGTAACTATAAATTCTAGATGATCAAATACTTTCTTATACACATTAGAAGTAATGCTTTCTGTACATGTTTTAAGGAGTTATGCCTCTTTAACAAAAGAATTATTACTTTAGTTAAATTGATTTACCCCGTTACCATGGTTACAATATATGTCCATGAATATGAACAACATGGTGGGAAGGCCTTGTAAATTTCTTGAAGCGTAAGTCATGTAAGTTGACCTTTCTCCAATTTTTGGGATAATTATAGCATAAGTTGACCTTTCTCCCTTTTTTGGGATAATTATAGCGTAAGTTGACCTTTCTCCAATTTTTGTTGACCTTTCTCCCATTTTTGGGATAATTATAGCGTAAGTTGACCTTTCTTCCATTTTTGGGATAATTATAGCATAAGTTGACCTTTCTCCAATTTTTGGTATCATTATAGCGTAAGTTAAATTGACCTTTCTCCAATTTTTGGTATAATTATAGCGTAAGTTGACCTTTCTCCAATTTTTGGTATAATTATAGCGTAAGTTGACCTTTTCTCCCAATTTTGGTATAATTATAGATTAAGTTGACCTTTTCTCCCATTTTTGGTATAATTATAGCGTAAGCTGACCTTTCTCCAATTTTTGATATAATTATAGTGTAAGTTGACTTTGTTCCTATTTTTGGTATAAATTACAACGTAAGTTGACCATGTTCCTATTTTTGGTATAATCATAGCGTTAGTTGACTTTGTTCCTATTTTTATGCTCCACCTATGATATAAGTAGGGCATTATGTTTTCTGGTCTGTGCGTCCGTCCGTTCATCCGTCCGTCTGTCTGTCCTGCTTCAGGTTAAAGTTTTTGGTCATGGTATTTTTATCAACTTGAAACTTAGTACACATGTTCCCTATGATATATGATCTTTCTAATTTTAATGCAAAATTAGAGTTTTGACCCCAATTTCATGGTCCACTGAACATAGAAAATGAAAGTGCGAGTGGGGCATCCTTGTACTATGCACACATTCTTGTTGGTGTAATTATAGCGCAAGTTGACCTTTCTCCTATTTTTGGTATAATTATAGCGTCAGTTGACTTTGTTCTTATTTTAGGTATAATTATAGCGTAAGTTGACTTTTTTCCTATTTTTGGTACACATACATGACATATTACCGTTTAATTTATTTTTCAGATGAATTAGAATCACCATTTCTTGGAAGGTCAGCTTTAGAACGGGTACATATTACAGGTCAGTTCAACAAGTCACATATCTGATTACACCACATTCAAAAGTAGCATTGAAAATTCATTAGAGGATTATAGATAAATGAACTTTTTTGTCGCACAGTTCCATGATATTATCTGTTTTGTCTTAACTTGACTTTATAGCTTGCTGTTCGGTGTAAGCCAAGGCTCTGTGTTGAAGGCCGTACTTTGACCTATAATTGTTTACTTTTTTACACATTGTGACTTGGATGGAAAGTTGTCTCATTGGCACTCATACCACATCTTCTTATTTCTATTTATAGATGTTATGTACAAATGTTTCAAGTTTGTTATTGACTTGACATGTTTGATATCTGAGGTTAAAAGTGTGATATTTAGATAAATTTGTATAGGATGCACTTAATTATGAGAAATAGAAAATATATTTGTCATTGCATAAATGAGAGGAAATTTTACAAGGGAATTTAACAACTACGTACATTGTTAGCTTACAATAAGGGAGATAATCATTTAATTTAATACAATAGAAATGACAAGGGGAGACAATTATGTGAAATTGATCTTATTTACTATCATTCTCTATTGTAAACATGGTTTCTTCATCTGTTAATCATGTTAATTGTCTGAACATATGATATTCAGTTAATGACAACCAGGGGAGTTAACTCCGTCAATTGTCTGAAGATATGATATTCATAGTTAATGACAACCAGCTGATTTAAGTCAGTTAATTGTCAATTTACAATCATTCTACATTATTACATTCATAACTTGAGACAATTTTATGTAAGCTGCTTCTTTCCGCCTATTTTTCTGACCATGCTGTAACTGTCTGCTTGATAGAAAGTAGCACTTCGCTGTAAAAATAAGATGTGGTATGATTGACAATGAGACAATAGACTTGATATGTACAATAAAACATGAGATTTGAAATGAATTTGTATAGAATGCATTCAATGACAACAAATTAAAGAATGATAAAAATTCTTCCCCCAAAAAATTATCAAATAAAATTTCCATCATATTTTACTAAATTTGATATAGAAGAATTTATATGGTGTTTTCAAAGTTAGATAATTTTATTTTAGATTTTGACCAATCAGAAATGGTAACAGATGAAGTGGTTTCTACAGAAACAGGAAATACTCCCACTCCCCATCAGTTAAATTATTCAGGTATGTTATAGATTATACATGTTATAAGAAATATGAATATTCAGTCAAAAAATGAACTGATAAAGAATCAATGGTCACCTTGGTCATGTTGGTCTGAGAAAGTGTATAATGCTGGTCTTACAGGTACCCTATTCATCTCCTGCAACATGTATCTTGAGCTGAGAATTAGACTCGTACCTATTTCTAATTATCAGATTCAAACTGGTACCCTACTCATGCCCTGGTATCTTGAGCTGAGAACTAGCCTGGTACCTATTACTATTAAACTGATAATCTCCCTCATTCCACTGTAGCTCCATTTAAACTGGATACTAAATATATTTTCTAAAAGGTAACCTAACTGTTTTCTCTAAGTACCCTAGCTGTACAAGCTCCTGTTACCTGTTACCTATTCTGTAATTCCCTCCTATATCAGGAGAACCACCAATACTCCAGATCGGCATAAAATCCCTTATAAATGATTTTAAAAATCTTCAGTTGATTTAAAAGGTAAAACTTTTAAAGCTTAGAAAGAGATAATAAAAAACCTCTTCTGGGGTATGTGACACCTATCACAGATATTTACATAAGCCATCGTACACGTTTAGGCTGGTCCATCGCTTCTATATACACATACATAAATTAAAAAAGTTCATTCATTGTTAAAAGTCTAAAATGTTCCTTGAATAGAACAAGTTTTCTCTTTGATTGGCATATCTATTAAGTGGTTTGAAACTGGTCATGTGACTTATGATCATGTGACTTAGGAATTTGTTGTAAACTACATTGGGGACCTGTAGTCTATACATTGAGGAGACAGGGATAGAGTTAAATAATCTCATTATTGTAATTATTCTGTGTATAGTGATTAATTATTAAATGATGAATTATTTCTGTGTCTTTTACCTGAGTATACCGAGTGTCTATATAAACACAACACCTACATCAAGGTTTACAATGAATATATACTGAGTGTATAAACGTACAATAAATCATGGAAACTATAATGGAAACGGAATATGTCAAAGAGACAACAACCCAACCAAAGAGCAGAAAAAAGCCATAGGCCACCGATAGGTTTTCAACGCAGTAAGAAAATCCCGCACAAAGAGGCCGGCTTCAGCTGTCCCCTCAACCATATTGTATACCAGTTCATTGAAAATTGACGCCACACTAAACTTCGAAAAAATTAATACAATGATCTAATAACAAATTTTCTTGGAAGTTGACCTATTGTCTTTCTAGTTGAATTTCAAACCTAAAAATGTGTTAGGTTTAAGGTATTTCAGATATTTTTGTTCTATTATCCCAAACTTCTTTTATTTGAGAAGAAATACCATATTTGTTAAAAAATTTTAAAATTAGAAATATTAGTAATGAAGTCATCTGTATTAATTGGATACAGTTGAAGAATAATTTCTAAATCTTCCAAGTTGTAACAAAACTTAAGTCAGTTTTGAAAAATCTAAAAACTACAGGATTTTTATACACATGTGTTGTTTACGGGACGTATTATGGTATACCGTTGTCCGTCGGTCGTCAACATGTCGGACAATAACCTAAAAGATGCTTTAAACAATATTCATGAAACTTAAATCTATTGACGTAAGCTACCTTCTGATTTTTATAAATTTTAGATTTTACATTTCCTAGTTATGGGATTTTATTCATAAAAAATGGGGGATTTTCCAGTTTTCTGACTAAAACTAAAAAATACTTGGAACAATTTTAATGAAACTTTGGTGAATTATTTATATATATTGACATAAGTTCCCTTTAGATTTTTAAAAATTTCTGATTTTATATTTTGGAGTATTGGGACTATATTCCAAAAAAGGTGGAATTTTAAGTTTTCAGACAATAACTCAAAAATGCTTTGTGTAAACATTACATCCACTTTATTTGAACTTTGGCGGATAGTTGTTTCATTGGAAATCATACCTCATCTCCTTATTTTTATTTTGAGCAATTTTAATGAGACTTTGTTGTTTGTTTTATATCTATTAATATAACATGTATAAGCTCCCTTTAGTTTTTTTTTATAAATTTCTGATAAGACATTGAGGAGTTATGGAACTTTATTAGTTGAAAAAAGAACAGGTGTATCATATGCTCATGGTGCAGCTCTTTATTTTTATTTTCTAAACTGGCAACTTTAATTTTCACATTTTTTATTTGTATTTTGAAATATATATTACATACATGACCTATATATAATAAAATCAAATTACATTGATTGAAAATCAATTATGAATTCCAGTAATTGATTATATTTTTTTCTGTGATTTTCCTTTAATAGTGTACTTCCCTAATACCATGGCATGTTGTATTGCCTAGATCTTCATGATTTGTATGTTTTAAATTTAGATTTTTCATCTCTACATGTGCTTCTACCATAGTATATTGTATTGCCTGGGTCTTCATGATTTTTATTTTTTAAGTTTGATTTTTCATCTCTACATGTACTACTACCATGGCATGTTGTATTGCCTGTGATATATAACTTAATACTACATAGTAAAGAGCAGTAATATTATACCCATTGTTAACCCTCAGGTCATAAACATCTTTCAATGAATGGAAAATAAATACAAGACTTTTTATAAATTTACATATTTTAAATCTGCAAGCATTCTATTTAATTTGATTTGCTGTGATTTTTGTAGAGTAAGAGTTTTGACTTATGATAATGGAGTATGAGATATAATGTAAATTGTTCAAGGTTTACGACACAAAATTGGAAACTTTTCACTGATAATAGCTCAACAAAAATACACTCCTTCTTTTTGTGACAGTTTTTCTTTTTACAAGTTTAAAGATTTGTAATAGATTAAGAGAACATGTTGTATTTTGGTTATGTTCAGTGTTGCGCGACCTGGTATAAAGGTATTTTGTCGCCTGGATAATTTGTCATGTAAAAGCCCTCTGATGTATGACTTAAAGTGACAATAATTGATATTTTAAGGGGGTAATGTTAGGGGGCACAACTCATGTGTGTAAAGAAGAAATAATTTATATTTTGAAAAGGTTATTCAAAGGGACAGAACTCATGTTTGACACAACTATATACTTAAAAGAGTAAAACTCTTAAGTATTTAAGTTTAATTGTTATAACTGTTGACATGGATGAGAATTCTTCTACTCTTCAGGAGAATTTTTAGCCAAAATGAAAAAAAAAAATTGCATTTAGGATTTCCGTATATATTTGTAGATACCCTACTTTGATGCTTTAAATCAGCTACCATAGATTTTAGTTTGGTATTTTTGTAGTCAATCATGACAAAACTCTCTCTCTCTCTCTCTCTCTATTTGTCACCCTGTGTTTTTGGGTGTCTGCCTCATTCATGTTGACATCTTCTTTATTGATAAAACTCTCTCTCTCTCTTAAAGAAAAGAAAACATATATCTCTTATTGCTGTTGTTCATCTCAAAGTTGTGTTGCATTTTATACATTATATATTTGAGTGACTTTCATAATAGGAACCAATAAAACATTGTCTTCTAGAAAACTTAAAAGTAATAATTGACTTTTTAGATCCAAATTAAGCTTTCCATAAGTTATTGTAAATACCTGTATTAAATTCCAATTAAACATGTTGAATACTCAGGCTTAAAAAGAAAGGTTTTAAAAGTGGTAAGGAGTTTTAAACTTATTATCCTGCTTAAGTACCCCTATCCATGATTATCCCACTTGAGTACCCCTATCCACAAATCTTGTATTGGAGAGGATGACCATATATTTGTAAATGTCCTAAAACACCATCCCTTAGTTCCTACATATATATCTGAAGACAGGATGGCTACGTTCCTCAAATTTTAATTATCTTATTTGTATAGTATACATACATATATATGTAAACAATTACTTTTACGGCATTTTATTTTACCTGTATGGTTTCATTGTGTTGTGTGTTGTAAGCTGGCGTCTTACGACAAAAAATCAAGTTTTTAAAAAATGTGTCTCAGTAATGATTCTGTGAGAAAAACAATATTAATTATTGAGGAATGTATTAATCCAAGTACATATAATGAAGACATAATCTTTCAATCAGTTTAATTGAAGTCTGGAGCTGGCATGTCAGTTAATTGCTAGTAGTCTGTTGTTATTTATGTATTATTGTCATTTTGTTTATTTTCTTTGGTTACATCTTCTGACATCAGACTCGGACTTCTCTTGAACTGAATTTTAAAGTGCGTATTGTTATGCGTTTACTTTTTTACATTGGCTAGAGGTATAGGGGGAGGGTTGAGATCTCATAAACATGTTTAACCCCGCCGCATTTTTGCGCCTGTCCCAAGTCAGGAGCCTCTAGCCTTTGTTAGTCTTGTATTATTTTTAATTTTAGTTTCTTGTGTACAATTTGGAGTTTAGTATGGCATTCATTATCACTGAACTAGTATATATATTTGTTTAGGGGCCAGCTGAAGGACGCCTCCGGGTGCGGGAATTTCTCGCTACATTGAAGACCTGTTGGTGACCTTCTGCTGTTGTCTGTTCTATGGTCGGGTTGTTGTCTCTTTGACACATTCCCCATTTCCATTCTCAATTTTATACAATATATTTATTACAATCTTGAATATAATAAAGGAATAAGGGAATGATTTTTAAATAAATGTTTTTAAGTAATGAAAAGACAGTGACCATTTGAATTGTTAAGTGAAAAATCCTCCTGAAGAAATTTAAAGGTCCTGTATAAAAGATCAGTGTAAAGATTGGGTAATTCTTCACCTTTGTAATTAAAAACAAAAAGTTCCCTCCCAAAAAAGAAAGGTTCTGTAAATCTGGACCCTTTCTAATTAAAACCCCTGAAATGAGGGAGTACTTGGCCTTTTTTAATTTGATGGTATATATTATTTATGGGGACTAAATGATGAGGGATGACTGAGTTCAAATAAGGTCTTTGTTAAAGATAGAAATAGGGTATATTTTAAGTGTAGGCCAGAGTAAGCTGTTAGGTATAGAGGTTACACTAGTTGGACCACTCTGAATATATTGGACCACTCTGAATATATTGGACCTC